GGGTGTCCTCACAGAGTCTGTCATACCAGGTTGGTCAATGGATAGAGGTCTGACGAACATATTCTCTCGGCCCTGCAGGTTGGGGGTTGGAGCAAGTGTGGCGTGCATTTACTGCCAAACACCGTTGCTTTTAAGCCAAAGGCTTTGGTTGAGGACCCTAATGGTCCTCCTTCCTAGGTGTGGGCGCTCAAGCCCACGTACAACCAGGATACCTACTCTCAACATTAAGCTCATGCTACATTGGCCGTCGCGTGGTGCCATCAGCCGGGTTGCCTTACCCGCTGCTTTCAGCATGGCGTGTAAGCAGAAACAAGCTACTGATGATGCATCCCTTCTTTCTCTTTCGCATGCTTTTCCTCCCCTCTCTCCCCACCCCATTAATAACTCTCTCCCTGTAGACCGAAATCGCTCTCAACTGATGTCACTGGCGTTCTGGTTGACAGTTTCTATCCAGGTTACTTGAATGAGTATCTGGAGATGTAGGCACCTCGGAATGATTGTGGTAATGTAGCACTAAGTCCCTTCCATGTCCAACCTTATTCCTTTCTTCACAATAAAGATTTCAAATAAATCAATAATGTACGGCGGCGAAGCATCAGCGTCGAACACTGATATCATGCTGTCGATAATGATGGTGATGATGATGATGGTGAACCCAACCCAAGTGACCCATTTCATTTTGTCCAGCAGGTGTAGGCGTAGGCACCCTTTTCTTTTCTCTTCAATTTTATTAAATAAGCCCTGTGGTTGTACGGCAGTGAAGCCTCGGTGTCGACACTTATGATGGTTCAGCTTTGGCGTAGCATTCAAACATTTGGTGCATTACTTCAGTTGAGTTTATCGAAAAAATACATCAATGCGAGAGGCATTTTTTCGTTTTAATATTAGCCAACCAGTAAGCTCACATTTGCTGGCTTTCTGAATCCATATCAACTGGAGCTGTACGGGGGGTTAGAAGTATGTACCTTCCGATTGGGTGCATTTCCAGGAGGAGCAAAAACTTGAGACGGCGTTTGGTAGTAGCAATGTACAACTATCTCTATGAGTACACAACATGGTGGAACAGTTCAACGCTAAATTCTACACCACTTCCTTCACCAAGAGTTGGCTTCCGCTCCGTTGTGCGATATGGCAACCTGTGTTCGTAGTATAAACCGAATCGATGGCCTATGCTGAGTCTACAAAGTCGCGCCGTGACTTGGAAAATGAGTTGGTTGTGTCGCAGAACGGAACTGAAGAATGACTGGCCAAGATGCCATCCTAACATCCAACAGAGGTTTACAAGTTGATTTACAGAGGTTATGTGGTGAAAGGCATAGAATACTTCATTTAGAAGTCTAAATTTCAGTCTTTTGGAGTTATTTTATAATTTTATCGCCCAACTTTAGAACACCTAGATGTTTCTGCTCTTCTAAAGTGTGGTGCTGACGCATTCCTCTATCATGTTTACAGGAAACCACAATTGCGATTCCATCACAGAATGTAGATTTGTAGTCCCTCCCATTCTTCAATCCAGTAAATCTGTTGGGTAGAACTTCCGCATACTCTTCTATCATTACAGGTCGACGCTGTAAAGTGGCATGAATATGGATTATTGTTCAGTGGTCTTATTTCTTCATTGTGACGTTCTTATCATGAGTTCTCATCCAGCTCGGCTCTGTAGGAACCAGTTTCAATGGGTCAGCTGTACGAAGGATGCCAGTAATTCAAGCCATGTCAGCTGGCAAGTCCATCTCAGAAGCAAGCATTTAGATGTGGACTAGAAACGTAAAAAAACCGAGTCCACCCATTTGTGAAAATTATCGGTGAGCTAAATGGTCCGTCCAACGTTCAGCAACATGTTTCAAGTTGAGCATTGTCTGTTTTGGAAGCCCTGGTAACCGCAAACCAGGATGGTATCACGCTCAAAAGTGCCTCCAGCACGTCTCAAGCATTTTGACTGCAACACATGGAGTCATATCGCAGCGACTAAGGTTACTAGAAGACTAATGAAGGAAAAATCTATGGGGGAAAATACATGGCGCTTCTGATTCGTAGTGAACCTTTTCCCCACCAATCTTACCATTCACTCACCAGAATGATCAAAATGGTTTTATTGAGGAGTGTTTCTTGTGAAGAAAACCAATTTGTAGACCGTTTGGACAACCGACAACACAGCACCCATTTTTGCTGTTGTTCTACCTATCGTTTCAGGTGTGTTTTTCACAATGACAGGCCTGCCGGGGATGGAAAACCGTTCCCGTTTGCTCATTGGCTAAACGAGTACAACGCCTCCGCACAGCGTATTCGAAGAGTGGAACCAGACGCTTCTAGTCAAGTGGTTCCGATAGTCTCGCGACGTTCGCCCATTTGGGATAATATCTTCCGGATCCATATACCCACAGGCAATCGCCCAAGTAAACAAAGAAGTTACCGTTCTTGTTTGGTATCACCAGTAGACATGTTCGAGCAGCTGGTCTCTAGACTGCCCCAGTTAGCATCTGCTGTCTCAAATTCCAAACAGCTGTACTGTCCTGCAGGCCGGAAAGGTGGTCTAAATGACCTAGCCAAACTTACTACGCATGTCCTTTGTGTACATGCAGGTAATCCGTACACGATTGCGGGATTCGAAGATCTGGTAAAGGCCAGACACGTACTACACAGAGTAAATAAAGGATTGTATTCATCACTCCATATAGACCCTCTAGCTGGAGAATGGATTAAACAGAACAGAACTCCAACAGACAGTACTTTGCTTCGATCCCCATTGGCCACGAGACACATACACCGGCCGACGGTCATATCTAAGTTAAGAAGCCAGCCGGCTTCCATTGTCGAAGGGTCACATACAAATTCAAATAATACCTCCAGACTATCAAAAATCAAAGAAGATAAACAGTTATACAGTTTGTATTTGGTGGAGAAAAAGACAAAGGGCCCAGTTGATTTCGTTCAGGTTGTGAAAACGAATAAAAGACAACTCACCGGTGATGCAGCTAGAAGGCAAAGACACAAGGAGAGACACCGACGGATAAAGCGAAAGGCGAGTGCCAGTAGAAAAACAGACATGGGGCAAACAGACATGGGCAAGGTAAGCAGTTGGATGAACGTAGATATTTTAATCCTACCTTTTTTATCCATGAATGATGCCGTAAAACTGAAGTTTACTGTTTTGCAACCGGCTTCACTTATCACCTTTAACATCCCTTTCGAAAGTGGTGGGCGTACAGTATGAAATGGGAAGAACACTAGGGACTTCAGCTCCCAGTTTTTATAGGATACCTTAATTCTAGACGTCCAGGTAATACAGCAGTGGCAAAAGGGGGATTACACCCACTGGCACATCAGTTTGGTTTTCATAGTAGACTCGACTGAATCCCTCATTTATGACATTCTTCAACTGAATGTCCTGTACAAAGGCCGCCTCATGTTTCAGTTGGTACAATATTCGAGCTATCTTTGCATATTTTCACAAAGATATCGTTCACAATTTCGAAGAGTTTTCAGCAACCTTGTTAATAGCTTCCTTCATGAAAAAGGACAACTGATCACTTTTTTGGGCAGTAAAAACTCTCCAATGTCGCAATAATACTAAATTACAAATGGGAGACCATCATGAAAGAAAACCACAACCGGTTGTGGTTTTGGAATCCAACACCTCACAGGGACAGTGGCTCGCTTCAGTGCACAACCCATACCCTGAAGTAGGTGGCCTATCTGGAAATTGGCAATATCTGAAGCACCGAGTTTTCAGGTAGTAGACATTGGTACCACTCATATTCACCAGAACCTTGATCTCAAAAGTTCAAAGCACATGTACCTATGGGACTTTCACTAAACATAACCAGCAAGTTATTATTATCAGGTGTAATAACCGCGTACTCGTCGTACAGTTTGGTCCACTGATGATTTGAAGAGGTGGGGCAGATGGCTGCGCATTGGAGCCAGGAGCTGATAAGTTAGTGCGTAAATACAGATCTCTCAGTGGACTGTCAAGTGAGGGGGGTTGTGAAGGCAGCTATGCATTGAGAGCAATAGCTTGGATGCAATCGTTGTTGAGGGCGTGACTGGTCAATGTCTCTAACCATTGATATGGCCCGTCTCGGGGTCCCCATCCAGGAAGACGGCAGTCACCAGCGCAGCTGAGTTTGCTGGTGATGGCTTTTATACTTAGCTGCCAAGTCATTGTTTGGCCTCGTCTGGCTGGTTTCCACCCATCACTTGGTTGTGAGAAAAGAACCCTTCGGGGAAGTCAGTCGACTGGCATACGCAGCATATAGCCAAGCTGGCACAACCTATGCAGTGCGATCAGTTGAGCTATTGAGGCTGGGTTATTTCTTCCGAATAATATTAGACGTACTTCAGCATTGCTGATCCGGTGTTCCAATCAAACTCGGGCAATGCTCCGAAGACAAACATTAAGAGTCTTTCGACGTCCTCGGTGCTCAGCGGCCAGATTTCTGATCCGTCTAGTAATATGGAGTGCATTGTTGCAGTGGAATAAGAATAAAGAAAGCGTCCAACATCAACGTTTCTACGCACAGCATTCATGGCGGTGTTGTTAAGATCAGAATCGGAAAGTGTGTGCAGCCGGTAACAGGTGAGCACAATTTGATGAATTCAGTATCTTTCGGTTGCATCTTTTGTGCACCCAATAAAATCAAGGTTGATTCCTTTTGATGGTGTTTTTAAGAATAGACATGTCAGTAAAACTATGGAGTATTGCAGTCATTGCGCATGGCTTTTTTAATGAGAAAGTTAAACCTAACCACCGAATGACCTCACACCATCCACTGTTGCTCGGACACTGAATTCAAAAGTTGTCACTTATGGAACAGTTCTCAGTGCTACCGCTTTTACGCTTAGTGCTCAGTATTGCTGGACGTTGGCTCCGAAACTGAAGCCGAACGACGTGGCAGTTTTTAAACTGGATGAAGTGTGGAACTCAGTTTTTTTTAACTGGAGTCTGGGTAGCCTTCCTTGCATGTGTTTGGTGGCAGTCGATCATCCCTAATGGACCGCCGGCCAGAAAAATTACGTTGTTCAGTTGATTCGAGGATAAATGAGTGACATCCAGAAGGTTCGCAGTTTTTCTGCCGTAGACACGACGTAAACAATTCTTCAGGAGACGGATACAGGCATCGGAGTTGCCAACGGGAAACAGAGTGTTGCGAAACAAGCACTAGAAGGACGATGCAAGTCCTGTGTTGAATGAAAGGCAAAGGCTATATTTCGACCAAATTGGTTTCTAAGTTTAGTTCACCACGGTGAATTCAGCAAAGTCATCAAGCTTAATTTTGAGGAAGGTATGTAATTTCTCGTAAAGTTCTCGGAGTCAGCTGATCACTTGTATTAAGACATCGTCTGATGATGCTATGCAGTTATGAGAACCACCATCAGACACTGTTGACTTGATTCCGCTCTATTTTGTTATTCTGCTTACCTACTCGCTCAAAACCACTTGTTTTACAAAAAGACACTACCCATGGAAAGTGTTCTTTTCTGAGGAAGAAAGGATGTATGATACAGTTAACGACAGTAGAAAACACTTTCGACGATACGAGGTTCGGTCACACCGTGACCATCATAAGAAACGATTACACCTTCGACGTTGGCACTTCAGTACCTTACAATAGTAGAGGGCTTATTTTGAAAGCTCCAAGCTTTGCTCTTGGTGTAACGTAATTACCGTCATTATGCGAAAACGTAAGTGAATCGTAACCCATGCATTTTATAATAAAAAATCATAAGATATGTGGTATGAACCGGACTTATCTCTCCCTCTTTTCTTTATCTACCCCAGGAGAACCTACAACAAAGTGCACTCGTAGGCCCAAAGGTGTACCGCGATGACCAGCGCACAAGTTACAGTAGAATCAAACGATGGAGCTCACATACTTTCTCGGACCTTCGCAGCTTACTGGAGTCAGTGTGCTTGCATCAGAATTCCTACTGTCGTGCCTGCTTGGCCGGACCCTTCGAAATCTCCGATCTATTGGATGAACATATTCATAGAGAACATGCCACCTCCCTCCACGCCCAGCTAATTCATCTGAGAAAAACGGAAGCATTTTCTGGATTGGTGGATCCTATGCGGACATGTTTTCAGTGCTACTCCGTGCTGATAGATCACTGTGCTCTACAGGTTAGTGCGGTGGCCCCTCAGACAATGGTCTCACCTTATGGAAAGCTGCTTGTACCAATCATGAAAAGAATCCATGAAATGAAGTTTACAGTCCTAAAAGCAGTTACACTTAATTATCGGTTTGGTTGTTGGCACATCGGTGATTCGTCAGTGGTGTCATGGCTGCCATGCTTCCGGCTTCATTAGGTTGGACACAGCTGTGATCAGTTCAGTTGTCTGCTAGGTGGTTTCAATATGTGTGAGTTCCTCCCTGGCTGAAAAAGGACTCGCTTAATCTGCAGCACTTTCACCGACAACTATTAGTGAGTCCAGTCCAATCCTGGCGATGTAATTTACCCAAGCTATGTAGTGAGCCAATGAACAAAGAGCTGTTCAACGCCGATAACAAAGTGCGGCATGGTGAGGCAATGAATATGTGTGAATGTCATGAGGATGAAAGGGTTCCCGAATTTGACATACTGTGTGAATTTAGTGTTTTTCATGTGAATATATCCCATTACACTACACTCTAGAAAAGCCTCTGACTGCGTACTTAAGATTAGACACATTTTTAGACTCCTTTTGGCATGAAATAGCTGTTGGAAAAATTTGGCCAAAGGTGTATGAATCTCCTACATGTATGGACAAATCAGATCCCTCTAAATCTGGCAGGCATAACTTGGAATTATGATTGTCCCTTGATGACAGACAGTGGTAGCAGCACGGACTCAGTTACTTCCTAAATTCGCCAGTTTAAGAAACCAGTTCTGGGACATTGCACCTGTAGGAAGCTCATATCGTGAACAGCTGCCCCTTCCCCTCATTTACACAATGTGGCATTTCTAGCGTATCAATTTGGAATATGCATCAAGTGGGAATGCTTGCAATTTTCAACGAACCTGTAATTAATTCTCCTTATTTGGAAATATAAACAAACAGAAATTAATGCGTGTGCCCAACTAAGTGTGTGAGTAAGCCACGCGGAGTTTGTGTTGAGTAAAAACCACTCGTTGTCTGTCACATTAGCACATGTTCGTCGAACGTTAGGCATAATGCTGGGAGTGTATGTGACGTTAGTCTTGTTCAACACAACCCTTGAGCCCAATATGGACTCCGATTGTGTGAGATAACTTCAGTCGAATGTCCAACGGACTAGAATATCGCCTATATTTGAAACCACTTGTCTGAATACAAATAAGTGGCAAAGATAACACACGGTTTAGACACAATATTGCACGAAACTTTGAGTACGTTTCGAATTTTTTCCAGGCGGAAGTCGTAACTCACGATTACTTCACTGGCAATTTTTCTAATAAATAAATAA